CATTCACTGCCAACCGGACATGTTCCTTCTCTGCCGGACTTAATCGGAACGGATTTTGCCGAATGGGAGCGGAATCCCCCGTATCAATGTGGTGTTTCAATAGATTAGTGCACCCAACATCGAATTTGTGCTTGCTAAAAACATCGGGAAAATCACGAAGCAACATGCGCAGCTTGAATCTTTGTGACTCTGAAAGATTTTCAGCCCCTGAACAGAGAGAATCCATCCATGCCTCATCGACACCCACCTGCGTCCCGGACGCCGGCGCCTCACCGACATGAGCTGCAACGGAGTCAGTGTGCAGCGGCAGCGACGCATGTGCAATGACAGCCCCTCGGTGCACGACCTTCGTCCGCAACCCCGCATTCAGCACCTGAATGAAGAGCTGTCCATCTCTAGGCACAAGCGTTTGTGCACCCACCAGGTCCAACCCTCGCTCGGTCGTATTTGAAGGAGATAACAAAACCCCCGAAGTAGCGTCTGCCTCCAGTGGTTTGCGTAACTGAAGCGGTATCAGCATCTGCGCACCCGGCGGAATCCGCACGGTTTCAGACGCCATAGCCGGAACAGTCGTGCAAGCTGTGCGCAGCCGGTTTGGTGAAGGCAGAAACGCCATCCGGCGGCCCGAAGGAAGCTCGATGCAGCCTTTGTCAATCAAAATTTTGATGGGCATCCTCCCCAAGAAATCCGTACCCAACAGACAGGGAACGGCCAAGGCATCGGAAACCAAAATGGGACCAGATAATTTAATGTCGCCAATACAAATTTGTGCAGTTATTTGGCCAATAATCCCCAGGGAACCCCCATTTTCCGCAAAGCAAGGGACGGAGAACGGGGTGAGTGCCTGACATCTCTTTGGTAACACGTTGTATATGAGGTCAGAGATTATGGTAGCCGAAGCCCCCGTATCGACCAACAATCGAAATTGAATTCCCTCAATATCCCCGAGAATAACCGACGAGCCCATCGCCGCGGCCACGACCCTGTGGGCCAACTCGGACCACTGAACCGCGCGAAGTGGCCCCCGAACATCAGCCCCATTCCGCTCCCCACCCCTCAACGCAACGCGATCTACTGGCGCGCCGAATCGCGGTGTATGAGATGCGGGCAGGGACCGTGTGCGTGAGGTGTCGCGACATGCCTGGGGGTCTTGTGGAGCGGCCGGCGGACGGGCGGACGATGGTGGATGACCCGAAGCCCGGCGCCGGGGTGCAGGGCAACCCGATGCCAGGTGACCCAGCTGGCCACAGTTATAGCACGTGACGCCAGCCAACGCCCGCGGGGGTCCGTGTCTCCCCCGGGTTTCCCCTTGGCGAGGCCGGTCGGCCCCCCTCCAACTGGCGGCCCGCTGTGACGCGAAGGCCTGGGCATCCGGGACCTCGTCAACTCTTGCAGCGGCGCACGCAGCCACCTGCCCATCCCGCTGGAGGAGCAACTCTGTGTGCAGGTAATGTGCCGCCCCCAGCGAGGAAAGGTTAGCTTCATCTTTGACGTGGATGGCAATCCTCAGTTCCCGAGCCAGCAGCAGCAACTTCTCAAGCACGATGGAGTCCAGGCCCACATCGTCCATTCGAGGATAGGCTGCTTGAGCCAACGCCATCAGTGCACTCTGATAGGCAAGAGGTGTCTCGTCCGCCTCCCTCCTCCGACTGGCGAAACGATGTCTAGTTTCGGATGGAGGTCCATACACTAAGGCCATCCGATCGAGGGCCTCCTGCAAAGTGGAGCGTTGCCTCCGTGGAATAAGGAGGAACGAGGCCAAGGCCACGTCGTCCAAGGCGGAAGGCAGGGCTTGGAGAGCGACGTCAGCAGACCACCCAGCCGTCTCGGCATTTGCCACGAAACGGCGTGAAAAAGCAGCCCAGTCCCCCCCCTTTGCCGTGAAAACCTGAAGCGAAGGCAAGCGCTGTTGTAGCGCCGGGATGTAGTCCCCCCTCGAAGACAGCAGCGTCCCAAGTGCAGTATATGAAGCATCTTCCGGCGGCAGAATATCAGACGGAATCGGCGGGCACCTACCCGAAAACTCTGCTTCTCCCGATGTAAGGCCGCAGATGGCGGATGTGACGCGAGCCACCTCTGCCCCCTGACCTCCTGGGCGGTTGACGTCATGTCCCCCGGAAGCGGTGACCCCCCCGGCGGAAGTGACGTCATCCCCGGCGGCCGCATCCCCGGCGGAAGTGACGTCTCCCCCTCCGGAGGTGACGTCAAAGTTTTGCACGGGAATGGCGCGTTTCTCGGCGGGAACCCGTCCCATCCTTCGGCCTGGTACTCCACCCGGCGCTCCCGCTCCCCCCAGCGTGAGCTCGTCGAGGATGGAGGCAGCGGCATGGAGGAGATCGGCCAGCCGGGCATGGGCTGACTGGATCGCCCATCCCGACGTCGGCGGACTCCTGGAGGGCCCCGGAGAACCCGAGCCCGCCCCCGCAGACCCGTCCCCCGGAAATGGCGCTCCCGCCTCCGGCTCAGCGTCTCCCTCGACGTCCTTCTCCTGGCCCCTGGTGAGCGTTTTCTGTCTTGTCTCCATGTCGGCGAGGTTCTTTGGCCGCTTCTAACACCAAATGTAGTATTCTTGAATGAGACCGACACTTCGTAGAGGCCACACGCTTTTATTCCGATAACACTAGTCCTCAGGACTCACTGGGGAGACAGTCCCACACACACAACCTAGGGAGGTACAGCCTCCGGCTCTATTCTCATTTCTCTCCTTCCCTAGCCTCCAGCTACTCTGTTACTCTCTTCCCTAGCCTACAGCTACTCAGCTACTCTCTTCCCTAGCCTACAGCTACTCGGCTACTCTCTTCCCTAGCCTACAGCTACTCGGCTACTCTCTTCCCTAGCCTACAGCTACTCGGCTACTCTCTTCCCTAGCCTACAGCTACTCGGCTACTCTCTTCCCTAGCCTACAGCTACTCGGCTACTCTCTTCCCTAGCCTACAGCTACTCAGCTACTCTCTTCCCTAGCCTCCAGCTACTCTGTTACTCTCTTCCCTAGCCTACAGCTACTCAGCTACTCTCTTCCCTAGCCTACAGCTACTCAGCCCACTCAGTTCCAGCGGGGCGGCATCCTTGAGGCTCGGGGGTCCAGGATCTCCGGCTCTCCTCCTTCAGCTTCTCCTCCGATCGACCCCTCCGCTCTCCGGGAGCCGTCTTATATATCCCCTCTCTCTGAGGGGCGGGGGTGTCTCGGGCCCTGGCTCTCGCCAGCCCCCTCCCCTCAGAGCCGTTCCAACCACCTCTCGTCCCTGTCAATCCGGGCCGGTCCAGACCGGTACGTACCTCTCCCCTAGCTTGTGTGACCTGTGTGACCTGTGTCAACCTTGGTGTCAACCTTGACCACCACACAAGCAAAAAGACACGGGTCAACGTTTTTCTCGTAGGCCTTTTAGTTTTCGTACGCCCGAGGCACTGTGCCTGCTGTGGCCTCGACCGACTAAAAATCACCCAGGAATGTCCTTAACGCTCGTGACGTCACTCCACATCGACCAGCCCCCCTCATTAATATTCATGAGCAGGTGACGTCATCCAAATGGACACCCCCCCAGCCCTCATGAATAATAAAGAGCAGGTGACGTCACTCAATATGGAGTCCTCCCCCCCTCACGAACAATCATGTGCAAGTGACGTCACTCCACATCGACCAGCCCCCCTCATTAATATTCATGAGCAGGTGACGTCATCCAAATGGACACCCCCCCAGCCCTCATGAATAATAATGAGCAGGTGACGTCACTCAATATGGAGTCCTCCCCCCCTCACGAACAATCATGTGCAAGTGATGTCACTCCACATCGACCAGCCCCCCTCATTAATATTCATGAGCAGGTGACGTCACCCAAATGGACACCCCCCCAGCCCTCATGAATAATAATGAGCAGGTGACGTCACTCAATATGGAGTCCTCCCCCCCTCACGAACAATCATGTGCAAGTGACGTCACTCCACATCGACCAGCCCCCCTCATTAATATTCATGAGCAGGTGACGTCATCCAAATGGACACCCCCCCAGCCCTCATGAATAATAATGAGCAGGTGACGTCACTCAATATGGAGTCCTCCCCCCCTCACGAACAATCATGTGCAAGTGACGTCACTCCATAGAGACCAGCCCCCCTCATTAATATTCATGAGCAGGTGACGTCATCCAAATGGACACCCTCCCCACCCCTCAATGAGCAAGTGACGTCACTCAATATGGAGTATTCCCCCCCCTCACTAATAATGTGCAAGTGACGTCACTCCACAGCTACCAGCCCCCCTCGTTAATATTCATGAGCAGGTGACGTCCTCCAAATAGACACCCCCTCCATTAATAATAATTAGCGGCTGACGTCACTCCACATGGGGGGCCGAGGCGCCTCCTCCCCACTCCTCGGCGTCAACTTACAACCCTCGCTGCAAAGGCAGAACCCTCACGTCACGCGGTCTCCGTAGCGCTGTTGAGACATCAAAGTAAAAAGGATGTCATGACGAACAAGGGATTATAACACCATTGGAACCTCATTTGCCAGTAAAAAATATAATTGGTTTTTTACCCTTCTATCTGGCAACAAAACTGACACCTTTTTTTACAAGGAGTCATGTTTGCATAGACCAGTGCACATTATCAGTTTTTGTTTGCATTATGACTGCAGGTATTGTGGTCTATGCAAACATGACTCCTTGTAAAAAAAGTGTCAGTTTTGTTGCCAGATAGAAGGGTAAAAAACAATTATCAAGGGATTATGACCTTTAAATGAAAGAGGTCTGTGTCACCGCGCCCTTACAAACTGCACACGAATTGATGCGATGAATATCACGTCGCGGTCTGCTTTTCGCTTGCAAGTTTCAGATTTACTGCAATACACCCGTCCTTGGACGGGCAAAAGGCTAGTTGGATAACGGCCTTGAATTCGGCCAGATAATTGTGGCCTGACCCAAAACATTGGATATGAATCTTGAACCATCCTATCCAACCTTATCGGCCTATGCCCTTTAAAAAAATGAAGCAAACTGTGGCAAAAGTGTTTAAAACTGACTTTATTTGTATACTAATGCAACTCAGCGATAATCGCAGTGTTCCAACCTTGGTAAACATGACACAGGGCCTCCCCACAGCAACGCAGAGCCCCAAAACGGCAAACCCAGTGAGCAGACAGATTGCATCGAAATACGCGACGTTAGAAAATGACGCGCGCGCGCGCGCCGGTCACCGCGCGCCCTTTCACAACGATTATCTTGAGAAAAACCAAGACGTCTCAAAAGTCGCACAAGGTGTGGTGGCGGCGGCGCGCCTGGCTGTGGTACGGGGGACACACACTTTCCCAATCGGGGTGTTCGTGAAGGTGAAATGCAGTGTGACGTGAGATACGCAACCACGGAGGGATGCGAGATGAGATGTATATATCAGTCGTTCCGCAGCGGATGTTCTCGCCTTTGTGCTGTGCAGCTTCTCACCCTACCCACCCCCCCCGGCCGTGCTTCTTGGGGTAGTGGCCGCGCGTTTGGTTGGTTGGCACGACGTCCAACGTTTCGCTCCACATGCCGGGTAATTCAGTTTCACTGAAGGCGCTCCCCCCGGGACATGGTGCCGAGCGTCGGACATTGTGGCGAACGGTACCAGGGAGCTATCAAATGTGCGTTCTTGACCGCGGGCACTCCAGTTCCCTACCACATGCAAAGACACGAGGAAATGGCAGACATCCATCCCAGTTGTAACAATCCCCCCCCCCGCCTCCACCAGATAAATAGTAGTGACTAACGGATAATTTTCCAGATATAAAGGACTTATTTAGAAATAAAAAGGATGGAGCGTGGTGGCGCAGTGATTATTAAAGCACTCCGCTATAAACCCTGCGACCTGAGTTCGATTCCCGACCACCGGCTAACATCAGTGGCGAGTGTGATATCGGAACCAGTCCTGGGCTCTCACCCCCCCTTCCACCAACCGGCGCGGTGAAGTATGGTCAAACAACCCCCACGACTGCAGTTATGGGGAGGCCTTCAACCAGCAGACTGACAAAGGGGATGTACATGTTTATTCTTTTTGTTAATTCAATGAATGTTTTAAGGTGTTTCCAAGTGGCCCTCTCTGGTTACCAGGACGCACAGACGCGAGGCCACATCGGTGTTGTGATGCCCTGAAAAATGGTGACGCGGTGTAACAGTCAAGCACACTGGACATGCCGGTTCGATGCCGTTTTTGTGGGCGAAGCAAGTTTCTTAAATCCCTCCCCGCTTGTGTCCACCCAGCGGTTATGAATGGGCGCATGTACCGCACTTAGTCGAGCGAGCAGGTCGCATGCGGAGGGCGTACCAGTGCGAGTACTCCATCCTCCTCCAAGACATCTGTCCAGAGCGAAAGAGTAAACCCACCTAGTCTCTAGACGGGCTCCACCTCGTGGAGACGCTTCCGATGACTTAAGAGTTGTGATATTCTACCTCTCATAAAACGTGGGGGAGCTTTAAATCCCCGCCCCCTCCCCCCCCAGTAAGAGGCCATGTGCAGAGATTAAAAAAACAGGGGTCCTACTCTAGAGGGCTCGAATAGCATGTCCATTAGTACTTGGAAGAGGGCCTGAAAGACTTTGGTTTCTCTTCAGTGTGGCAAGGCAATAGATGCCGTGGATACTTGGATGCTGACATTTAGCTTAGGAAAGAAATACTGTCCTTTGTTAGGAGCCAATTTCAGCGAGCCAGTGTCGCCACTGAATTGTCATGGGAAGGAGGCTTCAACCTCCTGGTCGCCCAATCCAAGGCCTCACGCGCTCTAATCCAGATGAAGGTTGCTTAGCCCTTGGGTCACTCTTGCAAAAGAAACTGTCCTGATATCTTGACTTCATACCTGGTTAAAACAAATAAACTTGCAAGTGTTGGATCTGTGTGGCAAATGTCTCTAAATATATTATCTTTCAGCAAGCTCCACCACTTGCCAGCAACTTGGCTTGACCAATCCCGAGTCTCCTCTACAGATATAACGACATAAATACGTTTTGGTTAAGTTGTCCTCAACCCCCCAGACGAAAATCCTGATTAGCACAGCGTGGGTAAGATTCACGCGAGCGGCAGGAGCTACTGCTGCTGGTGGCTACGCCAGTTGCGCCACCAGCTGCTGCACCACCTGCTGTTGCCACTGCACGTGTTCCCACCCGGTAGCAGCGCCACCGCCGCCGCCAGTGACACGTGACTTCACAGTGGAGCGGCCGACGCAGAACCCCACTTCCGACGAGAGCGAATCCGTGGATTTTAGTTTTTACAGAAACACAAACGCGTCACACGCGCGAGCCGTCCCATCGCGAGTGTTCCATCGGCTAAAACAACGTGGGCCATCGACGCGGGTAACAGAAACCCCCAAGGGTTTAGCGTGCGGACCGTCACCCTGCGTACGATGCCGGGAGGGGGTGGGGGGGGTGGGGGGCGAGGATTCCAGAGGGAGGGACGAGGGCCGTAGCGATGGTCCCTTGCTTGTGTCGCTCCTGGCCAATTTCAGACAGCGTGCAATTCCTACGCCAAATACACAAATTCTACGCACACTTCCTACACAGCCCCCCCGGGGCATCGCGCTCACCAGCCGCACCCCTTGCTTGCTCGCGGCAATACTACCGCCAGCACGTGGCTTTCACTGAAAACCGCCTAAGCACCTCTACGTCTAGCTTCCCTGCATGGCTTAAAGTGCATCGACGCGTGAGCCACGACCGCGGTTGTGCCGTACAACTCCCCGATGCGTTTTCGCCGGGTCGTGCCGTTCGCTTCTTCGGCGCGACGTCCGACGTTTCGCTCCACGTGCTGGGAGCTTTTTGCAGCAACCGAAAAGGAAGCTTCCCGGCGCGTACAGCGAAACGTAGGATAATCGCATAGGACCGGACAAAGCATCGGCGAGCCTGGTTCCAGCAGTGCTATAGCGCGCCTTGTGGGCATTCAGGCCGTTCAGGCTTGGAGAAACGGCCGACTTGTTCAAATGGCCCCAGCGCGTACACTTCAGGCCTAACCCAGAGGCACGTTACCTAGAGAATCTCCGTGCTGGTCAGACCCTTCCAGCACAGAGAGAATGAACGCTTCAGAAGAAATAATATATTACACACTTGGTCACTTGCAGTTTCAATGCAAATGCCAAGTGATGGAGGGGTGCGGGGTGGGGGGGGCAGGGGACAGCTGGCCTGCGCGGATGGCTCACGGACACTGGCCCCGGTGAGGGCTCGCCTTTGTTTGCGAGCCATCGGAGTTCGCCTAGGAGCTGGCCCGGAGCGCTATCCCTGGGCGAGCCTCATTGGGAGGAAGCTAGCTAGACAGGGGGTAGCCACCCGTCCTGCTCTTCCCAGGATTGTCCTCTTGTTAAAGACGTCTTCCGGGTACATTAAAAGCTCGTCGTCGCGGGTGGGTTTCTTCATCGGCTGTGCAAAAAATTACCGCAACGCGCCACTGGAGACGACTCGTTCGCACGCAGCTCGCCCACCCCCTCTTAGTACAACGACAATAATCGTGATAATTTCAACTCGTAACACGCGCCCCACCGCCGCGCACCACTTGCTCCGCACCCTCGTAGACACGGAATGACTCGGAAGCACGAGGCGGAACCGCGGACGAGGGTGAAGGCGGCCGGGTGCCGCGAGATATTCTCAGTTGTCCCGTTTCTGTCGCAGCTCGGAGGCAGGCAACCCCCGGCGCTAGCCTTTGTTGAGCGTCTCCAGGAAGTCGCGGCCCACCGTCTCCTCGACGCGGCGGCGGGCGCGGCTCCACTGCGCTTCGGCGCCCGCGCCGCTCTCCCCGCTCCCCGCGTGCTCCAGCGCCGAGGACGATGACGACGCCAGGGAGCCGGAGCCGCCAGATCCCGGGGGGCGTCCCGGGTCGCACAGGAAGGCCTGGGTAGTAGTGGGGGAGAGGCAGGGAATCGTCAGAATCTTTATAATAAGAATGCAATTTATAACGCGCGCAAATTTGCGGACGTAATGGCCGCAACTCAGAGGCGCTGGAGCCAAGCTCAGAGTCGCTCGAAAGCAGCGTGGTTGTAGAGGTGAGTTTTTAAGTCTCTCTTGAAGGAGGACGATTGAGGTGATGCTGCGAATGTGCAGAGGGATGATGGCGTTCCAGACTGTTGGGGCTGCCACCGAGAAGCAGCGCATAGACATGACCATCCTGGATCTTGGTATCAAGAGGAGGTCGTGAGTCGCGCTGCGCAGGCATCTGCCGTGTGCCGAGCTGCAAGTTGTCAATAATGAAGAAAGGTACGGCGGGCAGGCAGATGTGAAGGCGCGGTGGCAGAGGCAAGCGATCTTGTATGTGACCCTGCTGCAATGGGTAGCCAGTTGAGGGCACGGAGACAGGCTAGTGAGTCGAGACGGGGATGAGTGTGGCGAAGTATTTAGTCGGAAGATAAAATGTGAATCCAGGTAGAACAAGTGAGGATAATCACGACGTGACGACGCTTTACGCACGGGCGACACGATCATCGTGGACCTCATTCGTGCACGAGATTCGTCCACAGCCGCAGCTGGTCCAGCCGCAGCGCATTCCTCATGAACCGGCGGTACACGCACCACTTCATTAGGCGTTCATTCCGCTCGTGCGTTGCACTGGGTGCGATGTTCATTATTATTAACGTAAACTGTAACGGTGCGTGCCATCATCATCGCCTGTTTAATAATAATAATAATAATTTCCATTTATTTGAAACGCAACGCGCCTTCCACTCGTGTCTCAAAGCGTGTGTCACTTTACACCCTGGACATCCTTGTAAACGAGGTGCTCCATTGCGAGGCATTATTCCGGGTGAAATATCTCAATAAGTAAAATTACATATTTATAGAAATCTAGCCAGAGACAGATGGAGACAGGAAAATACAGGTGGAGATGGGAGGCGATAGGAGGAGACAGCTGGAGATAGAAGGAGGAGACAGTGGAGATGGGAGGAGACGGTGGAGATGGGAGGAGATGGGAGGAGATGGGAGGAGACAGTGGAGATGACAGGGAACAGGTGAAGATGGGAGGAGGCAGTGGAGATGACAGGGAACAGGTGAAGATGGGAGGAGGCAGTGGAGATGACAGGGAACAGGTGAAGATGGGAGGAGGCAGTGGAGATGACAGGGAACAGGTGAAGATGGGAGGAGGCAGTGGAGATGACAGGGAACAGGTGAAGATGGGAGGAGGCAGATGGAGATGGGAGGAGGCAGTGGAGATGGGAAGAGATGGGAGGAGGCAGTGGAGATGGGAGGAGACAGATGGAGATGAGAGGAGACTGATGGAGATGAGAGGAGACTGGAGATGGGAAGAGACTGGAGATGGGAGGAGGCAGTGGAGTTGGGAGGAGACAGTGGAGATGACAGGGAACAGGTGAAGATGGGAGGAGGCAGTGGAGATGACAGGGAACAGGTGAAGATGGGAGGAGACAGATGAAGATGGGAGGAGGCAGTGGAGATGGGAAGAGATGGGAGGAGGCAGTGGAGATGGGAGGAGACAGATGGAGATGAGAGGAGACTGATGGAGATGAGAGGAGACTGGAGATGGGAAGAGACTGGAGATGGGAGGAGGCAGTGGAGTTGGGAGGAGACAGTGGAGATGACAGGGAACAGGTGAAGATGGGAGGAGGCAGATGGAGATGGGAGGAGGCAGGGGGCGACAGAAGGCGACAACACAAGCACGTGTGCGTGCGCACACCTGCGCTGCCCCCACCATGGGCTTGTTGCAGAAGAAGTGGCTGAGCGTGCTGAAGAAGGGCAGCAGCTGGTCGATGGAGCGCAGTGACGCCACGGTGAGCAGCGGCTGGCCGGCCTCGCACGGGATCATGCGCGGCGAGCCGCCCCCCTCCTCCTCCGAGCTCTTCTGCACGGGACAGCGGCGGGGGATAGCGGGAGGGAAACAAGGGGGGAGACAGCGGACGGGTGTTGAGAGGACGGGAGAGAGGAGGAGACAGGTGGACACGGGGGACAGGTGGAGACAGGGAGGGAAAGGAGGAGACACGAAAAATATTACAAATCACAAGGTCGTCAACTTGTAACAGAGTGGCAGCGAAGGTGGCAGCCAACTCAACAGGACGTCCACCGCGGAGATGGAGTTATGAGGCCAGCTTGTGTGGCGGAGCAGGTTGGTGGGGTGCCACGTGCACACACAACACACACGCACAACACACAACACACACACAACACACAACACACACGCACAACACACCAACACACACACACAACACACACACGCACACACACAACACGCACAACACACAACACACACACACAATACACACACACACATACCTTGCACTTCTTGCGCAGGAGCTTTGTGAGCCGCACCACGTACGGACGGAACTCGCGTTGGTGGTTGCCTTGGCGACGGACCTCCAGCCCGGAGTCGTCGCACGTCTCCGGGATGAACGCCCAGCGGTACCTGCGTGCACAGGTGAGGGGACAGGTGAGGGAGCTCACAGGCGAGGGGCACACAGGTGAGTGAGTGGACACCGGTTGAGTGAGCTCAAATATGTGAGAATAGATCAGTGGTGGAGTGTACACTAGTGAGTATGCCCAGGTCGGTGGGAAGAGGTGGTGACCGTGAATAGGTGGTGACCATGAAGAGGTGGTGATTCAGAATGGGTGGCGACTGGACACGAAGAGGTGGCGACTGCAAGTGTTGGGAGGGCACGGAGAGACGCAAGAGGTGTGGACAACGCGAGCCGTGGACGGACGAGCGAGGACGCGGGGTGGGGGGCGAAAGTGGGGGAGGAGTGCTTGCAAGAGGCAGGAACGTACAGCTGGAACTGCGGGAGGTGGGCGGAGGGCAGAGCGAGCGCGAGGTCCAGGAACTTGCAGGCGGAGAGGTAGAGCGCGAGCCACCGCTGCTGACTGTAGGACGACGAGAAGCCGTTCCCCCCGACGTACGTTGTCTCCAGCCCCGTGATGGACGGACTGGCGCTCCTAAACACAAAGTCGCAGGCAGATGACGCCAACGGTTGCCCAGGCTCTGCGGGGCCCTGTAACGAGATGGCTTGGCCAACTCCGTTCGTGATTATACACGCGGCGGTGATGAGGTCGGCTCCAACACGGCCTTTATGAACACCCCCCCGCCTCCCCCCAACACTTGTAGATTCCTGTACATCCCTCCCATCTCTCATCTCACCTGGTGATGTCATCTTCCGCCATGAGCTCCTGTTCCATCTGCATGAACACTTGCACCTGTGCGAGCGAGTGCAGGGGCGGTCGGCACAAAGACGCAGAGGGAATAATGAACACGGGAAGACACGCACAGGTCTCGGAGGCTTCGTCGCATTGACTGTCACGTGACGTAAGTGGGCTTGGGCAGGGCGCGTCACGGATAGCAGGGGGCGATGGCCGGTGCTAGGGACGAGCAATGGGATGGCGGCTTGGAGAGGGAACACGCCCGAGAGAAAAAACACACTGCGACATCACCATGCAATTTCACAACATCACCACCACCACCTGCATCACCACTATAACCACCATCATCACCACTATAACCACCACCATCACCACTATAACCACCACCATCACAACCACCATCATCATCATCACCACCTGCATCACCACTATAACCACCACCATCACAACCACCATCATCATCACCACCACTAATATAACTACTACCACCAGCATCAGTACTATAACAATCACCACCATCATCACCGCCATCACCACCATCACCACCACCTGCATTATCATCACCACCACTAATATAACTACTACCACCACCACCATCACTACTATAACCACCACCATTACCACCACCTGCATCACCACCAAAAATACAACCACCACCACCAGGATCACCACCAAACCACACACATTACCACCGCCACCACCACATGAACTAACACCGCCCCCATCGCCACCACCAGCGCACCGAACAATGCGCACATGCTCACACACCGCGGGCAACAAAAGGAACGCTGCCCACCAGCTCGGTGATCATGGCAGGCCACAGCGCGGTCAGGTGCTGGTGCGACACGCGCAGCAGCAGCACACGGAAGAAGAGGAACACCTGGGCGTGCAGCGTGGGCACCTGGGGCAGCCGCAGGCTCTCCACCAGCCGCTCTGCTCGCGCGCAGGCACAGACAAAGGTCCCCCGGGTAGCCTACACAGACTGCTGCTGGCAAGTGTTTTCAAACGAGGACCCGACGAAGGCCGGCAAGGCGCACGAGCATTTGGTTGCTATAAATGTCCACGTGATGATAAGGCACTTTGGTGAGCTGTCATTTTTTCGCCAGGTCGCTTCTGAATAAGAGCTACGTAGCTCAATGGGCCTTACCCGGTAAAATACAAATAGTTTAGTGTAGTTTCAGTGTGTGTGCATGCGTCTGTGTGCGCGTGGGTGCGTCCGTGTGTGTGTGTACGTATGAATGCGCGTGCGCGGTGGCGGAGACTCACCCTGGATGTCGGGCAGGAACTTGTGGTACTGGTCGACCTCGCTGGAGAAGACGGAGAAGGCGAGCCGCTTGAGCAGCATCACGCGCTGCTCCAGCTCCGCCTCGCGGTTCCCAAACAGGTTCAGGGAGCTGCTCTGTGCCACCGTCACGCGCGCTGCGTGCACGCGGACAAACCGACGCCTTCATCCAGCGGCGGATTGATTGTGACCGACGACGACGATGATACACATGCACACGTATAAAGAGAGACCCCGTGTGGCCTGGCCGTTACCGGTGACCTATGAAGGGCGGCACCGTGCCTGGCCGCCTTTGTCTCCTCCCAACGTCGATGTTTCCGTACCGCACCGGGGTGCGCCCAAGACCGTTGTGGATAATCACGATGTTGGCCAGCAATCAACCCCCGAGTCGCCGGCTTCGTGGCGCAGTACGCTAACCGCGGCAAACCCTCCGATACGTAGAACAATAATAGAGGACATGGGATCTACGGCATCAGAGAGGGCTCATATACTAACACAGGAGCCACAGACTAACACACGACACAAAGTTACACTGGGCATTATGTACGCTCCATATACTGTGGATGATACAGGTGTGCGTGCGTGTGCGTGCGTGCGTGTGCGTGCGTGTGCGCGAGCAGTTGACCTTCACTCACTCATGAGGTCACGGAAGGTGGTCTTGTCGTGGGTCATCAAGTGGTCGATGATGGAGCGCCACCTGCACACGAGCAGACACACGAGCAGACACAAGTAGACACACGCACAGACACACACAGACACACGCACAGACACGCGTAGACACACGCACAGACACGAGCAGACACACGCACAGACACGAGCAGACACGAGCACAGACACACGCAGACACACGCACAGACACGCGTAGACACACTCACAGACACGCGCAGACACAGGCACAGACACGCGAGCAGACACACGCACAGACACGCGAGCAGACACACGCACAGACACACGCACAGACACGCGCAGACACACGCACAGACACGCGCAGACACACACACAGACACGCGCAGACACACGCACAGACACGCGCAGACACACGCACAGACACGCGCACAGACACGCACAGACACACGCAGACACACGCACAGACACGCGCACAGACACGCGCACAGACACACGCACAGACACACGCAGACACACGCACACACACGCACGGCGATGTGTTAACCGAGTCAGCTCCAACGCAGGCTCCTCCAGGGCTCTCGCAAACGTGTGCGCACGTGAGCATGTAAGCGGAGAGCGAAGCACTGTGACCTGCACTGTGGTGAGTGAGTGGGTTGTGAGCTGCAGCGTGGTGGTGGTTGAACAGAGCTCTCAACACAGGTAGTGAAGGAATCAACGGTGAAGTTCACGGGAACAGATACCATCGTAGTAGTGATAGAAGCGTGACAGGGAGGTGACTGATCGCCAGTGAGAGAGTGACTGGAGCGAGTGGCTGAGTGAGCGAGGTTCACGGGAACAGTAACCACCGCAGTAGCGAGAGAGGAGCGATAGGAAGGCGACTGGCGGTTCAGCGAGAGGCCCAGGGAACTTGGTGAGACTCCCGGACGGGGTGGGACTCACTGGGGGACGCAGCTGGCGTCCATTTGGAAGAAGGCGGACTCCATGAAGAGGTCAAGCGCCTCCTTCTTCCAGGCGCGCCGCGTGTACTGGTAGCCGCTCAGGCTGCTCAGCAGCTGAACGCACGCGCGGAAGCTCGGCGCGTTGTGGGCACTGCAAACGCACGCGCGCGCACACACACAATACGCAATGCAACACACACGTAACAAAGAGAAAAATCCCGGTATAGCCCTAAGAGATTGTTGGAATAAGTGCTGTTAGCGAGCACCTATGGTTCTTGAGGTAGGGCACGACGTAGTACATGATGTTGATGAGCAGTGGCACCACCTTCTCCTTCTCGTCGCTGCGGAAAACCATGTCCAGGAGATGCGCCAACACCTGCAGGAGGGAGGCACGGCGCGCCGTGAATACCGGCGCGGAGTCAGAGCACAGGGTGTGAGCAACACCTGGCACGGAGTAGGTAAATCCTACTTTTAGGTTTTTTCGGTAAAGTCACGTAGGTAAAAAATAAAATAAAAATAAAAGTAATAATAGAAATAAAATAAAATAATAAATCACGACGTTTCGGAGGCAACACAAGTCTCCGTCATCAGGTGGGACCGTCACAGCTAGATTTACTGTCTCAAGAGCACGGACAAGTATCAAGTGATACAGTAAATCTAGCTGTGACGGTCCCACCTGATGACGGAAACTTGTGTTGCCTCCGAAACGTCGTGATTTATTATTTTATTTTATTTCTATTATTTTATTAATTTTATTTTTTACCTACGTGACTTTACCGAAAAAACCTAAGAGTATGAATCCTTGCAGTCACGAAAGTTTCAAATCTAGAATTAGGTAAATCCTGGCATGTGTATGTCCCACGACGGACACGGACCACGTTAAAACCCGACGGACAAGACCCGGAGCGGACTCTGAGCCGGAGCACGGAGTTCCGGCGGCGCGTGGGGAGAGCGGCGGGCGTCACCTCGGCCAGCAGGGTGAGGGCGTGGACGCTGAAGACGGAGGGCGGCTGCGACACCACCTCGGCCACCGGAGAAAGCAGCAGGGCGTCTGCAACGGCAGACCGGGCCCCACACAGACGCTCGCTAAACAAACTCGCGCCGTGCGGTGCGTTCGCCGGCAAGTGCTGCAGCCCCGCCGAGTCTCAAAGGTTGAGTAAGTTCCTCGTTCGGGACGTTTTGGGTCAATTAAGTTTTGTTTGCAATTTGTTTCGTCCTCTACCTGGGTTTTATTTGCTGTTGTACGATCGGCATCGCTTCACAAAACAGAGGATCCACTGCGCCGCGAGGATCTCTGAAGTGAAGAGTGCGTGGAGAGGGGGGTAGAGTGAGATGAGAGGGGAGAGGTAGGAGAGTGCGTGGAGAGGGGGGTAGAGTGAGATGAGAGGGGAGAGGTAGGAGAGTGCGTGGAGGGGAGTAGAGTGAGATGAGAGGGGAGAGGTAGGAGAGTGCGTGGAGAGGGGGGTAGAGTGAGATGAAAGGGGAGAGGTAGGAGAGTGCGTGGAGAGGAGTAGAGTGAGATGAGAGGTAGGAGAGTGCGTGGAGAGGGGGTAGAGTGAGATGAGAGGGGAGAGGTAGGAGAGTGCGTGGAGAGGGGGGTAGAATGAGATGAGGGGGGAGAGGTAGGAGAGCGTGTGGAGGGGAGTAGAGTGAGATGAGAGGGGAGAGGTAGGAGAGTGCGTGGAGGGGAGTAGAGTGAGATGAGAGGGGAGAGGTAGGAGAGCGCGTGGAGGGGAGTAGAATGAGATGAGGGGAGAGAGGTAGGAGAGCGCGTGGAGGGGAGTAGAGTGAGATGAGAGGGGAGAGGTAGGAGAGTGTGTGGAGGGGAGTAGAGTGAGATGAGAGGGGAGAGGCGGAGAGTGCGTGGAGGGGAGTAGAGTGAGATGAGAGGGGAGAGGTAGGAGAGTGCGTGGAGAGGGGAGTGGCGTGAGATGAGAGGGGAGAGGTAGGAGAGTGCGTGGAGGGGAGTAGAGTGAGATGAGAGGGGAGAGGTAGGAGAGCGCGTGGAGGGGAGTAGAGTGAGATGAGAGGGGAGAGGTAGGAGAGTGCGTGAAGGGGAGTAGAGTGAGATGAGAGGAGAGAGGCAGGAGAGTGCGTGGAGGGGGGGTAGAGTGAGATGAGAGGGGGGAGAGGTAGGAGAGTGCGTGGAGGGGAGTAGAGTGAGATGAGAGGGAGGGAGAGGTAGAGTGCGTGAGGAGTAGAGTAAGATGAGGGAGAGGTAGGCGTGGAGAGTGGGGTAGAGTGAGATGAGAGGGGAGAGGTAGGAGAGCGCGTGGAGGGGGGGTAGAGTGAGATGAGAGGGAGAGGTAGGAGAGTGCGTGGAGGGGAGTAGAGTGAGATGAGAAGGGAGAGGTAGGAGAGTGCGTGGAGAGGCGGGTAGAGTGAGATGAGAGGGGAGAGGTAGAAGAGTGGGTGGAGGGGAGTAGAGTAAGATGAGAGGGGAGAGGTAGGAGAGTGGGTGGAGAGGGGGGTAGAGTGAGATGAGAGGGGAGAGGCAGGAGAGTGCGTGGAGAGGGGAATAGAGTGAGATGAGAGGAGTGGGGGTAGGAGAATGTGTGAAAGGGAGTAGAGTTAGACGAGAGGTAGGAAGCGGTGAGTCCAAGGAGGATCTTGAAGACTGCGAGTGCGATCCCCGAAGTTGATGCGGGATCGGATTGCGAGGCGGTGGAGGGATCCGGGTAGTGGGGGTGACACGGTCTCGTTTAGGGCGGCGAGTCTGGGCAGCCGCGCCGCGGGAACGCGTGGACGCTGGATCCACGGAGCAGGATCGGCGAGGGCGAGCGAGTCCTTACCGTCGGCGTCGGCCTGCAGTCCGGCAGCGTCCACCGTGACCTGGGGTCCGGCCTTCACCTCGAGGTTGCGCCGCAACCACGTGGTCTGCTCCAGCGAGGAGCCGGCCACGTGCGTGACTGCCTCCACCAGCCGCTGCGTCACATCCTGCGGCCGCACGTCGCACCGCGAGCGTCACAACTCCGCGTCCGAGCTCCGAGTATTTATTTATTCAATGCTCTTTTACCATCATTCCACGCGCCACCCGGTCGCCTTTACCTGGAGGTCTCGCAGATCCTTCTTGCTCTCCATGGGTGGCATCTTCATCACAAACTCGTTGAGGATTCTGCAGCGGGAATCGCCATCGACAAATTAAACTGGGCCACGTTTCTGTGCGTGCATGTGTGGTGCGTGCGAGTCTGTGTGTGCATGGGAGCGTGTGTGCGTGCGTGCACGTGTGTGTGTGTGTGTACGTGTGTATGTGTGCGTCCAAGAGTGTGTATGTGTGGGTGCGTGTGTGCGAATATGTACGTGTGTGTGTGTGTGGCCTCAAGGTGCACATGGCCAGGCACAAGCGTCGTGGTGACGTCACCGCCACTTAGTGGCGAATGGCGGTTGTTGTTGTGTATGTGCATGTGTATGTGCGTGTGTATGTGCGTGTGTATGTGTGCGTCCATGAGTCTGTGTGTGTGTATGTACCCTAGCAGCAGGAAGTGACCGGGGGGAGGGAGGTTGAGAGCGGAACAATCTTTGAGCAGTGACAGCAATGAAGGCCAGCTGTCCACAAACTGAGACACAGCTATCCTGTATGCACACAGACATAGACAAAGATCCCCCGTATAGCCTCAATAGAGTGGGGGGACAAGTGCTGTTCGCGAGCACGAATTAACGGTGGCAGGACACACGAGGGGGTGGGCGGCCAGCACCACGCCCAGCCGCCTTTGTCTCCCCAGTGGCGATGTTTACACACCGCACCAGCTACTCATTTGAGGCCGAGTCACACACCCGTAACACGCAAATACAAAGAACATCCGTGTAGCCTTCAACAGACTGCTGGGGCGAGCGTGGTTAGCGAGCACCCATTAAGGCCAGCACGGCGCAGAAGGGCTTTCTGCGTCCACAACCATCCCCAGCCAACTTAGTTGACCCACACACAGCAACAACAACAGCCACCACTCTCCACTAAGTGACGCTTGTGCCATGTTAAGTCCACTTTGAGGCTATCGTGTACGGTGCGGAAGGCTCACTGGTGCTCTGTTTGCAATGCCCACAAAAAGCCAAAAGGTCCCTCTCGAGATAGCCTCAACAGGCTGTTGGGGCAAGTGCTGTTAACGAGCACCTTTTGAAAGAGAGCGCGACACACAAGGGTGTGAGTGTCCAGCACCACACCCAGCCACCTTTGTCTCCCCAGTAGCGATGTTTACACACCGCACCAGCTACTCACTTGAGGCTGAGTCGATCTGGACGAGTTCAACACTGTTGTTGGTCGTTAGAGGGAATTGAACTCGCGTCGGCGGGTTTGTAGTGTGGTGTGCTAACCGCCACTCCACAACAGCACTCACACCGAGCACATATACAGGTCCTCCACAGCTTACACTCGCTCACACACTCGCACACTCGCACACACTCCCCCCAAGAGCGCCTCACCTCTGCACGTAGGCGAAGAAGAACTGCAGCACGCTCACCTCCAGCGGCACGCTCTTCTGCTGGCGACACGACGAGAGAGATCAGCGGGAAACGCCACATCACGCCAACCCGGCTAAACGCACCTGCACCGCACCCGCGGCGTGCGAGTGGCGGCCGCGCGCGTGCGTGGAGGCGTTCTCCGAGAAATGCGTCCCTCGCTTCGGGTAGAGACGGCCGATCAGAAGCGATTGGAAGGTTGAACCGCCGTGCCGTGAGATTGAATCGAAACCGGCGACCTCCGGGATTGCAAGTCCAGCGAGCTGGTGGCCGTTACACCGCGACAGTGGCGGCAGCAGCTTGCCGAGTGCCCAACGGCTTCACCATCAAAATACCGGGGACGATTCCTAAAATTACTGAACACATTCGTCGACGATACGGAGTGACCGGAGGACCGCGGGTGGGGGGGGTGAGGGGGCGGGGGCGGGGTTCATCACCTCCTTGGGCGAGGGGGCCGGCCCGCTCGGGGGCTGCCGCACCACCTCCTTGACGGTGCCCACCACGCTGTCGGTGCGCATGCTGCTGATGCCGCGGATCAGGTCCACCAGCAGCTGCTGGTCCACATTGGCGGCCGCCAGAACCTGCGGACAGAGAGACCCCCGCCCCCGTGTAGCCTCCGACACGGACAGTCGTGGAGAGCGCTGTCAGCGAGCACCTATTAAGGTTGGCTCGGCTAGTCAAGCGAGGTTAAGCACGGGTGGGTACAGTTCAAGCTCGCGTGGTTACGCGCGGTCCAATGTGGATAAGCGTTGACGCTCCTCGGCAAGGGGGAAAGGGCGGTGGATCACCGATGAACGCGGTTAGCCATGGGTGAGTGCGGTTAACCACACGTGGGTGAGTGCGGTTAACCACGTGTGGGTGAGCGTGGCCGAGTGTGGGTGAGGAGGGCGAGTGTAGGCGGGCGTGGACGTTTTGGCGAGCGCGGTTAACTGTGGTCGAGCGAGGTTGCGCGCGGTTGTCCGCGGCCGACGAGCGGGGTCGATCGTCGACCTCCGCGGCACACACCCGGCTGCGGGAGGCCGCGGGCCGCCCCCTCGTGCGCTCGCTCCACACGCGCGCCACCGCGGCCATGAAGGCGACGCCGTGCTGCAGGCTCAGGGGGCTCAGCAGGTCCAGAACTTTCTGGCGCAGGATCTGAGACGGGCAGCGGGAGAGACGAAACGCAAGCACACACGAGCGGCGTGACGGAGGAATCCGCTTGGAACTCTTGCAGAGAGCAGCGAGTCTCTCGGTGTTAGGGAATGGCTCGGAGAAGCGGTTATCATACGCTACGGGTTACCGTGCTATGCTACCTGGTTTCTGTGTGAATATACAAGTCTCTAAATGAGTCTACGGGTCTCTATACAAGTCGGCGGGTCTCTAGCTAAGTCTACGGTTCTCCATCATGAGTCTATGGGTCTCTCGCCCAGTCTACGGGTATCTATATGAGTCTACGGGTCTCTATATGAGTCTACGGGTCTCTATATGAGTCTACGGGTCTCTATATGAGTCTACGGGTCTCTATATGAGTCTACGGGTCTCTATATGAGTCTACGGGTCTCGAGCCGAGTCTACAGGGCCCTATATGAGTCTACAGGTCTCTAGCCCAGTCTATGGGTCTCTATGTGAGTCTTTGGGTCTCTATGTGAGAACCCCCAGTTTAATCACAGGTGGCCGCCTGGATTCAATCCCAGCATCTCAGCGGTGCCGGCTCAGCGCTCCGAGCCACCCGTCCACCTCAACCACCGGCGCGACGGGAGAGAGACTCACGCGGGGAGAGAGTTGGTTGAGAGCGGAACGATCACTCGCGCTCACCTTGGTGGAGCCCAGCCCAACCGAGGAGGGGGCGGCCGCTCCTCCCGTGACCCCAGCCACGACCTCTACCCGCTGCCCCTCGGCCTTGCCCAGCAGGCTCCAGAGCAGGGCAGCCGTGGAGAGGACGCAGGGCAGCACGCACAGCATGGCGGCGCGGGCCTCGGCACGGCTAGCGGAACTTGGCGACTGCACGTGCAGGCGCACGTACGTACGCACGCAAAAGACACGCGGGCGCACGCAAAGCACACGCACACATGTTACATAAACGCACACCCATGGACACATGCACAAGCGTACGTGCCCACACGTGGAGTCGGACACACACTAAAGCATGCACACGCACGCGCACCGTCACGGCAAAAGGCACACGTCCACACTGTCACCCAAACACACGCGTACACGCACACGCGCACACGCATGCATGCTGTGTCCCTCTCACGTGGATGTGCGTGGTGGAGCTGTCCAGCAGGCAGTAGTGCACCACGGTGGTGAGCCCCTCCAGCAGGCACAGCACGTAGTCGGGCGGCACACTCTCCAGCAGCACGTCCGGCCTGCATCGCACAGCACCGCATGCACCACTGTGTACCACCAACAAAGAAAAAGGTCCACCGTATAGCCTTAACAGACTTTTGGGGCAAGTACGGTTCGCGAGCACATATGAAGGCCGGCACGGCACACCCAGGTGGCCAACACCACGCCCAACTGCCTTCGTCTCCTCAGTGCCGATATTTACACACCACACCAAGTACTCATTTGAGGCTGAGTCGACCTACGGGAGGCCTAGGTCGGGTTCAGATAATCATCCCTGGTGTTGGCCGTGAGTGGGAATCGATTTCAGATCGCCAGGTTCGTACCACCACCACCACCACCCCACCTGCATCACCATCACCAATATAACTACCATCATCCCTATAACCACCACCACCGGCATCAACACGAAACCACACACATTACCACCGCTACCACCACCATAACTAACACTGCACCCATCACTACCACCACCACCAGTAATCCACCACCAAACATTCTTAAAATAACATGCAGAACCACGTGCTACAGATCCACATGACACAACAAAGACAAAGATCCCACGTACAGCCTTAACAGATTGTTGGGGCAAGTGCTGTTAGCGAGCATCTGTGAAGGCCGGGGAGGACCCATGACCGGTTCAGACAATCGTCACTGGTGTTGACCGTGAGCAGGAGTCGAACCCGGCTCGCCGGGTTCTTCGCGCAGCGCTCTAACCGCTGCAATACCACCACCGCACACGCCACCACCGCACACGGCACCACCGCACACGCCACCACCGCACACGCCACCACCGCACACGCCACCCCGAGCCAGCGTCGCTCACCGGTCGGCCGCGAGGGCGCTCTCCCAGGCGTGCTGCTGCGCCGCCGCGTCCAGGTTGCGGCACACCTGAGCGACGACGGCCACGGCGAGCCGGGCCAGCGCGCGGCCCAGGTAGGGCAGCGACGCCGTGACGGCGCCCACCCAGCGCGGGTGAGCGGCGCAGCTGGCGCGGCCCGGCGGCGCCGACACCAGCAGCGCCCGCGTCACCGCCCAGCCGAGCATCTCCTGCTCCGCCAGCGGGCGGCTCGACACGAAGCGCAGGGAGGTGGGCGCTGCCGGGCCCACGGCCTGCTCCTGCTGGTGCTGCTGGTGCTCCTGCTGGTGCTGCTGGTGGTTGGAGGGGGGGTTTTCTGGCTGCGCTGCCACTAGTTCGGTGAATCCGCCCTCGGGGTCTTCCGTGCAGGCCAGCACCTTGTGCTCCAGCACCATTAGGGCCTGGCGATGAAGAGAGACCGGTCGCGCGTGGAGACTTCGTTCCTGTTGTTATTGTTGTTATTCCAACAAGTGCCCATCCTCACGTGTCATGAAACCAGGAAGTCGGAATGATAAAAAGATGTGGCCAGGTCACCCTGGGACCTTTTCTTGCCAGTATTAAAGTATAATAATAGATTCTGCCCTTTCTGCCAATAAAACAGGAGGTGTTAAGATGTTCAAACACCAAACAAAAACCTTTTGCAAGGAATCATGTCTGCATTAACCACGCACAATTGGTAATATATGCATATATGCATTGTCTTTGAAACCGATTGGTCTACACCAGAGACAGCCAACCAGTGTTAAAACCAGAGAATGCCAAAAGGCGAACAGCACAAAGATAATGCACCATCAGGGCGTTCATACCTCGGGGTGAGCAGCTACAACATGGTCACCCTGCGGCATAACCTACAAATCAATTACGAATCCTAATAACATTGGCTGCGAAAACCTCCTGCGTAGTTAGTTAATATGATCTGTGCGGACGCAATGAAACCTGCAGCAGGCGCAGCAGCTGGGCCTGCAGAGCCCCGCTTGTCCCCTCTCCGCTGGCGCCGGCACTCCCCTCCCCCGACTCCGACTCCTCTTCCTCTCCGTCCTCAAAAAAGTTCACTTTTCCCTCCACGGAGAGGCCCTCTTCAGCGGCCGGGTCGTTGCGCACGGAGAGCACTGCACGGGCGGCACCGTCGGCACAGTCGCCGCCGTCAGCGCCGTCGTTTGACACCGCGACTCCCACGCGGCGCGTCCGCCGGACGTGCACGACGGCGCCGGCCAGGCGGCGCAAGCTTGGCGGTAGAGAAATTCCATAACTGGCTACGTGCACGACAACGCACACTCGAAAGACGTGGGCAATGACGTGGACGATCGTGAAGTGGCTGCACGGGCATCGTACGCAAACGTAAAGTAGGGCTGCAATTAACATCGAAACAATTGCCCACCTTTCTTTCCATTTTAGGGAAAAATCGCTCGTAAAATACGTCGGTGTCGGACGCGCTCAGACGTGGGCGGTGATGATGCGTTGGGATTCGTGTGTGCGGCTGACGATGTGTGACGAGCGTGCCAATTGTGGTGTGGTGATGGTGGAGTGGCGAGTGTGGCGTGATGAGTGTATTGGTGCCGGTGTGATGATGGCAAGGCACTAGATCGATTGCAGGTTACTGGGCGCGACTCAACTTGCTAATAAGGTCAACGCTTGCGGGCTGACTGGCTGACGGACCGAGCAACGAACCGACCAGTCCACCCACGGCCTCACCGCCTCGTCGTGCGGCGAGGCCACGGGCCGCCACCCACCGTGCGCTTGTGCCCTGGCGTGCGCCCCCGCCACTCCGGCCACCAGGCAGTGCAGCACCACCTTCTGCGCCTTGCAGCGCGCCAGCAGGTCCAGCAGGAAGCTCGCAAAGCCCGGGCCGGAGCTCGAGGCGGAACCCGTACCTCCGGCGCCGGTGCAGCCCGAGTCCACGAGCCGCGCCAGCGCTGACACCAGCAGCGTCAGCACCTCGGCGCTGGCGAGCTGAACAGCCCCGGGGAGTAACGAGGTGAGAGACAAGCAGGGCTGTGATGCGGCCCTTCCTGTACATGCGCGTGTGTGTGTGTGTGTAAGCGTTAATGGTTATATACACCGAGCGAAGGTAGGGTTTAGGGATATAATCGCGTTGAGTTATGGGTTCAGGTTTCGTGTTTTAAGGCTCAAGTCAGGTTTCAGTTAGGGCTAGAGTGAGACTATATTTAGGGTTTTAGGGCTAGCATGAGAGATAATAGTCAGATTATGAATCAGAGCTTGGGTTAGGATTTGGTTTGGGACAAGGGCAAGAGTTCAGGGTGACGATTCGCATGAAATAATTCGGGGTACTCAGCGGCAATGGTCTTACGCTGGGGCCCGGTCGGCACAAGCCGATTCACACGAAGCTGGACCAGTGGTTGAGGGGCCTTGCCTGCACGTGGCGGTTCTCGGAGAGCTGGCGCGGCGACGCGCGTACGTGGTGCGGGTAGTACGAGCGCAGGAACGCGAGCCCCAGCGACAGCACCACCTCCAGGTACATGGCGTTACGGAAGCCGCCCGCCTGCGCCCCTCCGCCCTCCGCCGACACCACCACGCCCGGGCCTGCAAGCAGCCAGCACCGGCGGCGGCACAAACCACACAAAGACAAAGATCCTCTGTATAGCCTTAACGGGCTGCTTGGGCAAGTGCTGTTAGCGAGCACCTATAAAAGCCGGTACGGCACACAAGGAGGTAGGTGGCCAACACCACGCCCAGCCGCCTTTGTCTCCCGAGTGGTGATATTTACACATTGCACCCAGTACTAATTTCAGGTTGAGTCGACCTATCAGAGGCCCAGGACTAGGTAAGATTATTAGTCATTGGGGGTGTTCGTAGCGCGGCGCGCTAACCGCCGTGCCACCACCCGCTCTCTCCACACATCCTCCAGTCGCTACCGACCGTGGGCGCTGGCATAGAAGTCTCCGCCGGTGAAGGAGGCACGGTGTCGCGCCAGCAGGTTCTGAAGCAGCACGAGGCGCGGGGCGCGGGCGCCGCTGACGCCCGTGGTGGCGAGGGCGCTGACGAAGGCGGCCGGGATGGAGCGCAGCACCGAGCCGAGCACCGCCAGCGCATGCAGCACGCGGCCCGTGTCGTACACCTGCGGGCGCAAGCGGGGGGGGGTGTGTACGCGTGACACCTCTAGCGGGGATTGCGCGAGATAAAGGCCGAACACTGTTCAGGCTTTAGGTTTAGGGTCGTTGTCGTTCGTGTAAATAGCGTCGCTAACAATCGCCAGGGGAGGAGCCACAGACGACAAGGAAGGCAGCAGCAGCCAGGCGGTGAGGAGCCAGAGCTACCAACAATTGCCCAAGCTCTGCAGTCCTCCGTATATTAAGATGTCATCAGCCAATTAATTAGATTGGAAACCGGAGCTCCCGGGGAAAAAAAACCCGCACACACGAGGGAGCAACACTCGATTCCACACAGAAGTGACAGATGAAGATTAGGCCGCACTTTGCTGCACCGCCCTCTTCTCCCGGTGAGCCAGAGTGCGGGCTCCTCCTCGACGCCCAAGAGGTGGGTGTATCGTAGCATCCGCGTGTGATCTACCAACCCTCGCTGCTCCTGCTGCTGCTGCTGCCTGCATAGCGCTGGGTTAGAGGCCACGCGCGCTGCCACCCCTGCCTGGCTGGCCTGGGGGTCTGGTCACTCGGGAGTTACAAACAGAAACTTCCGGGAGGCGGGGGGGTGGGGGCGGGGGGGGGAGGGGGGTGTGGGGGGGCGGGGGGGAGGGGGATTGGGGGGGTGGTGGGGGGGTGGTGGGGGTGGGGGTCTCACGGGGGGGCGATCTGCCACTGGTTACTAAGCGGTGCTGCTCTCCGTGAAAGTGCAATTCTGAAGCTATCTACTCACCGGTTGTAAACGTCGTAGGTGTTAATTACGTGTAAATGTAATGAACTCGTCGTTAGTTATTAATTATCTCGTTAAATATTCGGCCTACGGTGGGTGGGGGGCACGGGGCAGCTGACAGCGCTGATCGGGGGGCCCACGACAAGCGTGATGTTGGGGAATCGCCGTGCCGGAGGAAAGCTCCCCCGCCTCTAGGTCAGCTCAGACTGAAATGAGAACCTGCAGTGGGCTTCACCTAGGTCAGCTCAGACTGAAAACGAATGGGCCGTGCTCACCTGCAGATAGAGCAGCACGTGCTGGTAGAGGGGGTGCACGGTGGCCACGCTTCTCTCCATCACCCCCAAAGACGAGGAGGGGGCGGCCGCGTTGCCATGGTTACCTCCTCCCATCCTCCGGGTAGCCCTGGGAGACACAGCACCACCGCACTCACCACGTGGTACACGCGCGGCCCCTGTCCGTGTTTCCGCTGCTGGATGAGGGCCTCCCCTTGCTGGCTGCGTCAGTTCCGTACATTGTTCATTTGACGATACTTTTACATGCTGGTCACGGCAGATTGGCGAAGGTCGGGGAGGAGCAGCAGGAGGAGCACACAAGTGCAGTACAACAATATATTATTCTGCACCACACTCCGCTAACAATGTAGCCCCGTAGCCGCCCATAGCCACCCGTTGTGGTGTGCGCCCGTACAAGCGCTATCCAGGCTCGAGCCTGCTTAGCCTGCTTCGGGCGCTTGCTGGGCGACTTCGCCATCGGGTCTCACGACGCGACGGTCCGGACACACGCCAGCCCACAGCGACTCCGGGCATCGTCACGACCCACTTGCACCAAATATTTAGTGCAGTGGTTCTTAACCTTTACTGCGGTCCTTGCACCCCTTTGGTTCTCAATAGTAAAAAAATATATATACGTTAATAAATACGCAGGTTTAATTAAACGAAGTAGTTGTACTTGAGTGCCCGTGATTAATTTGTGCTTCGATGATTTACCTTCTAAAAAAACCTGACCATGTCTTGCACCCGCAGAAAGGGCATCAGGTTAAGAGGAAGAACCACTGCTTTAGTAGAATGGCAATTCACAATTTTACACAGAAATACGCAAATTGGGGACGGTGCCACAACGGAGTCATGGTCAGCAGCGCACTGGACGCACAATCCTGAGGTCACGCCGGTCCAATTCTATCTCCCGTGAGTTAATGAATCTCCCTGCCCCGCCCCCAGCCGCCTCTGTCCACCGAGCTGTGTGAATGTGAAAGTTCCACCACAGGTGGTCTATAATCGTCAGGTCGCGTGTGGCGGTGGGCACTCCGACCTCTATCCAACGCATCTGGCCAGCGTGGAAGTGCGGACCAAATAGCCCTCTGGAGCGGTACGATCACGGAGGCCTCTCCGTCAGCAGTGATGTGAGCGAGCAATTGCAGGGCTGCACCTTTGCCGTTTGCATGCTAATTATTTGCTCAAGGAAAACTGAAGCCGATGACCGTCTCAGGTGCTCTGCGGTGCTGCTGGCGCAGCAGCAGTGACCTCCGACGTACGCAACGACCTCCCCGCGCCTCCAACTCAACCGCGCGGCACCGGAGCCCAACCTGCGCGGCGAGCACGAGTCGCTGTCCCCCTCCTCCTCCTCCTCCTCTGACGACGAGTCCCTGTTGGTGCCGTCCCCCTCCCTGGTGCCGTACCACGCCTCCAGCCCACCGGCCTCGCCCAGGTACGCCGGCGGCAGCCGCATCGGCAGGTCCTGGACGGCCGGCGCCGCCGGCGCCGCCGCGGCCGAGACCCCCCGCGCCGCTCCGTGCCGGACTTTGGGTCGCGCCCCACCACCACCTTGGTCCAGCGTGCTGCTGCTGCGGCTGCGCGGGGCGCCGGACTCGACGCCCGGCGCCAGCAGCGGGAAGGAGCTGGGCCGCGGTAGCACGGTGCCACACGGCGCCGTCACCGCACCGCCTGCCGGTGGCGAAAGGAGTCGCGGGTAAATACTCGGCTCTCGCGTTTATTGAACGGCACACCACGGACGCCAAGAATAGTGGGGTGCGCGCGTCGAACCGTGAGCACGGGGACCGGGCGAGTGAGCATCGAACGAGAGACGGCAGAAACGTGGCTGAGAATGGAGTCGGCAAAATGAAACCGGTACAAACGAGACGCACGGTATGAACAAGACCAGAAATTAAAACGAGATGGACGCTACAATCGCAACTAAAATAATGACCCTTGAACCCAACCTCGACTGGGATCCGCCGGAACGCTCCGCGTGGTGGCGGCAGTGCCGCCGGACTTGCCGCGGCTCTCACCATCGACCGCGTCTCCCGTCTCCGCTTCCCCTCCACCCTCCAGTCTCGCGACGGCCTCCACCACATCCTCCAGTAGCCGGCACACCTCCGGATCGATGTCCCGGCAGACCACCCTACCCTCCTCCTCCTCCTCATCTTCATCCGCCTCGTCCGCCTCGTCCACCTCCTCGTCGGCAAGGCTCGAGTCGCCCGTGCGGTCGCTGACCCCGCTGTCGGAGCGCGACCTCGTCGAGACGCCGTGCGTCGAGCCCGTGTCGTCGTCGTCGTCGCCGCAACCGCCGTCGTCCTCGTCGTCCGCCGCGCCGGGCCCCTCCTTGGCGTGGCTGGCGCTGGGCGGGGAGGAGGAGAGGGGGCTCTCGGAGTCGGCGCCCAGCGGGTTCACGGTGAGGCCCACGGGGACGCGGGACCCGCCGTGGGCCATGCTGGACCCCCCACGCGCCACCCGCTCCGTCACGTAGTAGCCGGCGTGGTCGCCGGACGCGCGCACGCATACTGGGCGCACACACACACACATCGTCGTTATCATCATCGTAATCATCATCGTCCGTGAAGCAAGTGCTGTAAGCGAACGCCACAATCCCACTACCTACACAGCAAACACCATACCTGGCGAGCACCATGCCCGGCCGCCTTTGTCTCCCCAGTGCTGATGCTTATACACCGCACGTGGTTTTCAGGAGAAGCCCAGGAACGATTCAGCTATTCACCGCATGACTCGCCACGTATGTTGGCCGGGGCCAAGAATCGAACCCACGCACCCGGGATTCGCGGCACAGTGCGCTATCCGCTGCCAAACTCCTCCTACAAACACCCACAGCGGGGCAACCCGCGGCATCCCCAAACTCACCGCTCACTCCAGTCACCTCCCGGGCGCCGGCCTCGCCGGCCAGGAACGCCCCTTCCACCACGCAGCTCCCGCCATTTCCCCGCATCTCCGGGTCTCGCAGCGCCATCTCCCCAGCTCCGTCGGCGCCGGTTTCCAGCGGCTCGCCGGCGCGCGGATCGTCGCCGAGCTGGCGCAGTGAGAGGGCGCGGGAGCCGGTCCCGGCGCCCGACTGCCGCAAGGCGACGGCCGCCAGCGACACGCGCTGCGTCTTGGGGTGCAGCAGCAGCAGCAGCGGCGGCTCGAGCAGGCGCGGCACGTCGTGGCGCTGCACGGCGTGCGTCAGCCACTCGTGGCACACGGAGGCGCACTGCCCGTCCGACTCCACGCAGCGCAGCGAGTCCAGCATGAGCAGCAGCGACCTGCCGGCATGCCGGGTCGCTCGGTCGGGTCACTCGCTTAGCCGGGCGTTCACTCGCTCGGTCACTCAGCCGGTCAGTCACATGGGAGTGAGGGGAGAGGCGAGAGCCGAGAGCCGAGAAATGGGGAGAAAATAGAGGGAGGGGAGATGGAAAAGTAGGCAGAGAGGTTCGAGGGGAAAGGTGGAGGGGGGAGAGTAGTCGGGGTCTCCTGTATTTAAGCAGGGGATGAGTTAAACCCATTGCAAGGGCGCCCCGATCGGAGCGGCGCGTGGAACAGAAACGAAAGCTGACAAGTGCGCAGCGAAGCACGGGCAGGTGCACGCGTGCAATTGCACCGAGAGACGGGAAGATGACCACGTGGGTTAGAGAAGACACGCCGATTCGAGGACGTCGCACGGACCGCTAAGACAAGCGAGCGGGCTCGGGCAGGACGCTTTCCGATAGGGAAAGACGGCGGCCGGGCGGTGGAGACTTATCGACAGAGCGAACGCGCCCGAGGGGGCGTCGGCCGCGGAAACGGAGAGGCGAGGATGCTGTTGTATCCTAACCCTTCTTCCATAATTGAGATTAATAATATTTGATGATTTTTTATATATTATCTTTTTACTTGTTTTTTTTAATGAATGAAACACACCAAAAGCGCAGCAAACTGCAAAACACCAGGTGTTGTTAAGTAATGAACCGGAGGAGGGCTAGGATGGCAGAATTTGCAACCTTGCTTCAAGGGAAGATAAGGCCTGATGAACGGGCACATGTCACCCGTGCAGGCGGCAGAGACAGTGGGAGTGTCAGCCAGACATAGTTAAGGCAAAAAGCCCAACCATCCTGCATGGTTTTAAAGTAACGTCAAAATTCGAAATTCAACAACAGAGTAGGCTAAATTATCGATCCTCGCGCTCGCTCAAATTGGAGACCAGGCTGCGAGCTACATAAATGAACCATTGCCCATTTGCTAATCCAATACTGAATGTTAATATTACTGAAGTCAAAACGAATTCTATGACCTCAGCACATGGGCAAATAATAGGGCAGTGTCGACTCAAAGGCAATGGAAGAAACAGAGGCGCCTTTGTCTAAATCACAACCACAGAAAGCCAGGAATCATCACTGATTGTGTGTTCAGGGATTCCGAGCTAGTTAGAACACGTGCACAGGGGGGGAGCTGATGTAAACAACCCTGCACGTCTGAACGTGAGGGGGCCTTTGACCTGAAAGTAAGAATAACACTCCCAGAGCAGAAGGTTGGATGACCACAGTGAGACGAGAATAAGAGTGGTGTATATCTCTCAAGGAGGCAGACCCAGCTGAACAACAAGGCTGCGGGGTCACCAGAAGTTCGCATTCGCCTAGTTAAGACAAAAAGCTCAATTATTCTGTATTGCTATTAAAGTAACGTTAAAGTCGGAATTTAACAACAGGGTAGGCTAAAGTTATCGATATTCACACCCACTCCAATTAAACCAGGCCACAAGTTACGCCTACTGAACCATCACCATTATTAAGTCAATATGAAATGTTATTTCCATACTTCAATACTTTCTATACAATTCGACCCGAAGCATATGACAATCAGAACCTTCCTAAGTCAAAATTGAATCGCACCCAGACAGGAGCGAATAGTCAATATAAGGTTGAAGAGGGAAGGAAATCAAGAGCACGGCGAACTGCAAACGTAAGCAAAAAGCCGGGAACAACACCAGCCCAGCAACAGCGAGTGGGGCTTCGACAGGCCATAAAGTAGAATAATAACTCCCGGGGTCAGGGGACACAAGAAGAAGCAGGCAGACAAAAACCAGAACTGACTCCAAGGTTCAACCGCCCTCACCTACTCAGGAGTGACGGAAATTAATGAGGCCTTGAATTAACGGCAGGCAACAACAACGGCGAGCAGAGATAGGGTGGGGCAAAGACTGCGGGCTATGGAATGCAACTTCGTGTCAGTAAAGCCCTGACAAACAAGTTAAGTTAAAGACATCACAATACATAATATCGCACATAACATCAATGTTAACGCTATTCACCGTAAACTATATTCCGCTTATATAACCATCCAGGCACCAAGGAATACGAATTCCTAGGATCAAGAAACTTACCCCTTAACCTAAGATATCGGAAATAAATTAATAGTAATAAGTATATGCATGAAAAGACAAAGTAAAACTTATGGAAAAGCCAGGATAACGGGATGAATCACCACCAGGTCGAATATAATACATAATAAAAAAAAACGATGTTAAACCCAGGGTCGGAGAGAAAGGGAGATCCCGGCCGTCTTTGTATCCCCGCAGCGCGGGATAGGAGTGTGTGTACGCTCGGGGAAACACCTACACTTGGGTCGGGAACCACGATGGGAAACGACAGACCTTAGGTTACATACAGAATCATAACTGTGAAATAGTAAGGGACAAATGTTAACTTAAAACTTTTTAACCATTTCTTTGTGCGCCGGGTCGGAGAGAGTGTTGCCCCTCCCTCCAGGTTGTGCAACACGAACAAAGACGCCTATGAGACGATTTGTAACGTCTGTGTTTTGGGTCATGAAGAAGGCCAGACAAGAGATAATATTGCACCCAGACAGAGAGACGACTTCGAGGCAATTTGTAACATCTGATTGTTTGCTCGTGGGTTTTATGGAGGGAGTGTGACAACGAATATACCGTCAGTGATGCACACAAGGACACACGGACATACGGACAGACACATGGACACACCTGCCTACGGACAGATCCTGACACAGCAAAAATCGAAAGAAGCCCCGCCTTGTGGGCGGGATCCAGGGGGATTTTTCGGCATAAAGTAAAGGATCCTGAGCATTGGAAACCAGTGCGACGGGAGGGTCCACTCAGAAGCTCGACCGGGAGGGTCGACTCAGGAACGAGTGTGACGAGAGGGTCCACTCAGGAGCGCGACCGGGGGAGTCGGCTCAGGAGGAGTGCGACCAGTGGGTCCACTCAGGAGTGCGACCAGAGAGTCGACTCAGGAGCGAGGGCGACCAGCGGGTCGACCCAGGAGCGAGCTCGACCGGGAGGGTCGACTCAGGAGCGAGCTGCGACCAGCGGGTCGGCTCGACTCATCTTCAGCTCGTCAACCTCTGCCGAATCGGGGGTCTCTGCTGCCACCGGAGTGGTGAGCATCGCGGATTCGGCGACAACCCAGAGCTGCACGCTACGAGCGAGTTGTGGGCGCCACCTACCGACCGGGTTCCGAACTGCGACAGCGTATCAACAGCCATCCGAACCAATTCGCCACGGGATCGACTGATACGTATGACGCGCACCGCCCCCTCACCACACGACCACCAGGCGTCTGTTTGACCTAAAGAATCGACTCCGAACACTGACTATTCAAGACAACTCTTACCACTCAAAAACACTCGAACCCATAAGCCATCCGTGGCTGGAAAGCATCACAACGAGACCGAGGGATGGCCCTCCGTCGTTTATAAGAGTATTCTTAATTTTTATCTTTAATATTTAGTGGGCTGTACTCTTAATCGCATAAATTCCCAACAGATCCATCAATACGAACTGATTCTTGGCACCTCCTTCCGCCGAGCCACGCTCACGTGGGGAGTGGTGGCCCACCGGATCCTTATCAGGTGATCTGGTCCCCAATTAGTAAACTTGGTATAAGATAACGATCTTCGGAAAAGGAGCACCGTCGCAGGCCCTTACTCCGAGCCGTTCTGAGATAACCTGCCGATGTATCTGTTGAGATTGGTGCCTTTAAGAATAATAACTGTTTTTGATTGTGTTTTTTTTATCGCCGTATAATCTTTCAAGTATCTTTCAGTCATAATCGCCGCACGTACTCGCATCCTCTACAGAATATTCAACTGTTCCGTGACCCAAGGTGTTAACAACGTGATAAGGGTTGCGTATGATCAATAAGGAGTGCGGTACTGCGTGAACAATATTGAGTATAATCATTCATTAACGTTAAGGTTTTCTTAGCATAATATTTGCATGTTTTAACGACTCTCTCTCTCACTAAGAACCATCGCGTTATGCGGGATCCATGTGCCGTTGTCAAAGTGAAATCAGACAATCGTTGATGATACTGTATTGATGCCGTATTGACGTTCCGGGATTGAGAGTTCGCATACTATATCATAGTTAAGGTTGAATTAGTAATAAATTGATCAATACAGAAGTGGTTGTGTGATTCTTTCCTGAAATCTATGCATAAGATCTGCTTCTGCGTTGAGATTTGAACTTGGTGACCTTAATAAACACACTAATACATACTCAGTAAATGTTAAAGCGATAACGGGGTGAACCGGGGTCTGGTTATCATAACGACTTGCGTTATCATAATTACACCCACTCGCATAATTAATACGATTACCTCTCGAATTGGCATAATTAAAATGTGCGTAATTACATAAATTAACATATTTCCGGATAATTACACATTTGGCCAAATTTCATTTAATTATTATTATTTCCACTGAATATTCATAACCCACATATACAACATAATAATTTCACCCACGCACGCATACAACATAACAAATTTTCATACCCAACATATACAACATAATGGGGGCTCGTCTTCCGGGATCTCTCGCAGACAGTTTGTGCATGAATTCAGGAACGAATCACTGATGTGTTAATCAAAGTGTTGTGAACTAACGTTGCCTTGTGATTGTAAACGGGGGTATACAAACAAAACGCGCTCTGAAGGGAAATACCAGAGTAGCAGAGTATAACAAAGACAGCTGGGCTGAGATTATTTGCTCGAGTTGAACTGACGCATCCTGTGATACAATTGTTTATATGCACTCTGAAAAGAAATATTAAGGTAACTCTTGCCATACTTAAGATGCTAGGATTAAGAATAATATTTGAATGGGTTATGGGATACGGGGAGCTCGTATTTAAACGTACCGACCAATCTGTTACAAAGCAGTACAGTCAGAGAGACATATGGGAAGGGAGCTGTATCGATAACACGAACACACCTTGGGGGAAACTAATTGACTGGATAAAAAGTAACGA